GTCGTGTAGTAGTCCCGAGCATTAACTCCGTTCCTCTCCTCTGGAGAGATGGAGAAGTTGATCGTTAACCTCGTCAACGTGCACCCCCCCCCCAGACGGAGGGGGTGCCTCTTTGCGCTCTCTAAGTGAACCCTATCAGTAAAAAAAGCCACGTAATTTTTGTGTGAAGCGAAAGCTCAATCCTCAGCATCGATCGTCTATATCGCATCGATCGTCTATTTTGAATAATTAAGCTGACCCCTTGACCTTCTGTTCAAGTACCATTCGGGCAAAATCGACGGCAAGCTCGTTGCACTGACAGGAAGCAGCTCGGGACAACCTGGCCTTCGTCCGCCAAGTCCGAGTTCCCATTGGCCGCTGGAAATACTACGCCATGGGCAGCAGCAGCAAAAGGAGAACCAGCCAAGCTCGGTCGTCTTCTACAACGGTTCCCATATCCGGATGAATTGCTGACAGCAGTAGCGGAACCGGTACTAGAGCAGTGGACGGCCGCGTGGAGACGGGAATGTTTACATGGCCAGTTAGGCATTTACGTCACGAGATGCAAGGACAAAGCGACGCAACAATGGATTGAGGACTGGCGAACCAGGATCGCTCGCCCAAGAACGAAAAATCTGGACGAAGCTTCGGACAACACTATCGACTGGACTCGACTACGAGGAAGTGGATATGGCAAGGACGAGATCTTGAAGCTGTGCGACACTACCAACAAGTTGCGACTGGCACAACACATTCTTTGCTCTCTACTGTATGACAAAGCGATCAAAGTGCTAACCCACCAGGAGGAAGTAGACGAACAAGGAGTCCGTTCCAGGCTGGTTCGACACCTTGCAGCCCTCAAAGAAGCAAATGCATTTAGGAAAGCGTTTACACCAGACGGTGTGAACGTTAACTGGACTAGAACGGCTCGTTATTTCGACACAGAGATCGAACACGGGGGACCGGATCCAACCAGCTAATATGATTAGTAGTCACATAATTCCTGATCGCCAAGGGGGGGGAGTTGGACAGGAGATGGCAGTGACGAGTACGGGCGGACTATGTTTTTGCGAAATGAGGACGGCGGAAGGTTGGGAAGAAAACCACGGACAGGACGAGTGCGGCATCGCAGACTTGAACTCCAAAACGTCCGAGGCTTTACCAAAGAAACTAGGATGAAGTGGCTCAGTGCATGGCGCCGGACACCGGTGCAACAAAGGCCAATGGCATGGCTAATTCAAGAAACTCACGTGAGCTCCGAGGCCGAAGCGGAGGAGCTCCAACAACAATGGCATCGATTGTGGGGACGACGCATCCAGTCAGGCGGGCCCACCTTGTCGTATTGGAGTATACATGACAGCAAACAGGGTGGGGTAGCAATTCTACTCAACCCAAGTATCGCAGACACGGTGAGTCCGTGGCAAAAAGACAAGTGGACTAATCGGGTGCTAGCTATCACAATTGGAACACTGCAGGTCGTAAACCTTCGCAGCGACAGGGAAGTTTTCTTCACACGCTTAAAAGAGTGGACGTGGACAACTGCCGACACGATCATTGCAGGGGACTTTAACAGCGTTCAGAGTCCGCCTCTTTACCGACTTGGAGACAAACGGTCAGGTCGACCAGAAAGTAATGCCTTAACCGGGCTTGTTCAACAGCTGCAGCTAGAAGATGCACGGATTCTTGAAGAACAAGCTGATGAGGAGGAGGAAGAGGGCCAAGACCCAGCCGAATTCTTTACATACTGGGGACCTCATGCGGCAAGCAGAATTGACCGCTACTACGTCCCGTGTAGCTGGACAGCAGAGATTGACCGAGTTGAAGTAGCAGAACCGGCGGCCCCCTCGGACCATCAGCGGGTACGGCTTCATATCAGCGACAAAGTACACACAGGGAGGCAACGTCGCAGACGCAGGTCAGTGATCTACCCAATTAGATCGTCCCAGCCGGCAAGAGTTCAAACAGCGGTATTGGAAGCACTCATGCGTGTGGGAGTTGGGAGAGAGGAATCGACACGTACGTGGGATAAGACGGCAGGAAAGTGTGGAGATTGCATACGGCAAATCACTCGGAGCGAGGCACAGCGACGGAAGCAGTCAGTAGCTGCGTTGCGGGCCCAAAACCGGGCACAAATTTTCACCAGACGCGGACTGCTAGAAGTTTCCGAAGAGGACGCACGCCAAGAACACCTAATCCGTCTAGGTCAAAAGCTAGAGCGGACGATGGACCAACTCCGATGGGACTACAAACGCGTCTCCAACTGGGAGAAGGACCAGACGGTCTCCTCGATTGAACGAATCAACGAGGACCGTTTACCCGGGGAATGAACATAGCGAGCAAGTTCGGGTCCGAGTGGCAGCCTATATTAGGCAAAGTTCACAACGCTTACGCAGGGCAGACCCTAGAAAAAGAATTTGACAATTTCGTCACCATACCTGCTGAGCGGCTGCTCTCCATGGCGGACAACATGGAGCTGATGAAACCCATTACAGAGGATGAGGTCATTCAGGCCATTCGGGCGCTGAATCGTCATAAAGCGGCGGGGCCGAATGGGTTAAACAATAATTTTTTCAAGGACCACCAATACCAGCATTGGTGGCCATTGGAAACGAGCTTTTGAAGGGAGCCGACCCTCCTCGATCGTTCCTAGAGGGCCTTATCATCCCGCTACGAAAGAAAGGTGACTCCACGGATGCGATGAACTTTAGGCCCATCTCGTTGTTGCAAACAGCTTACAAAGTTCACACCAAAGTCATAGCGACAAGAACTCAACGGGTGCTGGGGAAACCAATTGGCGAATCACAGCAGGGATCTGTGCACGGCAGGCAGATGCTTAAAACGGTAGTGATGATGCTAGCAGTATTAGCAAAAGCGACAGCTCGTCCCGAGTTGAAAGCGGCGTTCAGCGAACTGATACTTCTCCTAGACTTTCGTAAGGCGTATGACACCGTTACGCGAGAATTTCTCTTTCTGGTGTTACGCAAGTTTGGGTTCTCCTCGGAATTCACCGAAATGATACGGAAACTGCACGATGGAACCACAGCGCGATTTCTAGTAAATGGAGAGCTGTCGGAGCTGCAGCCAGTTGTGTCTGGTATCCGACAAGGATGCCCATTAGCGCCTCTGCTGTTTATCCTCGCAGCAGAAATTCTCTCTATGGCTATACAACAGGACCCAACACTCTCTGGAATCGAAATCCCTGGGATGCCAGGGGTCAAGCATACCTTTTCGGCATTCGTAGATGACTCCACAGTGTTCTTGAAGGAGGCTCGGCAACTACCACGAGTGATGGAGATCGTAGAACAATTCGGGCGCTTGTCGGGGCTGCATGTCCAGCCCACAAAAAGCTGCGCGATTTTTCTGAACAAAGCAGTGGCAGTTCCCCAATTTCACGGGATCCCAGTGCTTCAACCGGGAGCCACGGAGAGATATCTGGGGTATGAAGTAGGAACGGGCAAGCTCACGGACGTCAATTGGGCAAAAAGAATTCGAGCAGTGCAGAGGCGTCTTGCGACAGCGGCCAAGCTGGGTACTAGTGCCGAATTCAGGATCAAGATACTCAACGTCATCATGTTGCCGTCGATTCTCTTCACGGCGGCGGTGTTTGACATGCCCAAGTGGGCGAATAAGCAGCTTCACAACCTACAGAAACAGTTTTTGTGGCGCCAAACTACCTCGACGGAGGCATCACGCCATAAAATCAGTCCAGCCCTTCTATTCACACCCAAACAGGCAGGCGGAGCAGGATTGGCATCGATTGAACTGGCCTGTCAAACGCAACGAACGAAGCACACTCTCCAATGGTTAATCCAGCGGAAGGATCGGTATTTTTATGCGTGGAAGGCATGGATGTTCAGGGGTCTCTCGGAGTCCTGGAACGGCAGTATAACGCCCAGGAAAAAGTTGTCCGGCAGAAGTCGACGGAGTTTGGATACTCCCGGGGTGGCACTAGCGCACACAATGGGGGAATGGGTGTGGCAAACAGCGCGGTTGCCTAACGACGACCTACGGCAGACCCAGCCTCCAGATGACGACTTGGCAAAACGATCTATCAGCTGGTTCTCAGATGGCGAGTGGATAGTGGAGCTCCCACAATTGCTCCCAACCCCCTATCGGGAACAATCGACGTCGGAAGAGCAATTCTGGCCGACGTACAGTTGGGCTAACAATCCGTGGGTCGTAGACAGCACGGGAGCCACACTCAACAGCCGAAAATATAACCGTATCCAGGAATGCTCGATCTCCGACTTGGCAATTCACAGGACAGGCAAGTTGACATACTCAATGATAATTCCCGTGGCAGGAGAGCAGAGGCATCGCCAACTAACGTTACGGCGCTGGGCAATAGCGATTCTGAGGAGCTCGCCGCGGTTAGACATAGGGCAATCCATACAGGTCAACCCGGCCTTACGCCTACGAAATCAACCAGAGCTCATCAACTCCTACAACTGGAGTTGTGTGAGCCAGGCACGCGCCATCGGAGTATCGACAGATAATGCCGCTGGGAGGGCATGTACCATCCAACTCGAGCAACAATCCAACGGCATACATTGGAGGGTAGTCGAGGGCCCCGCGACAGCAGAAGAGGTGCACCCGGATATTCAGCTGCTTCAGCACAGTCAGGATGACGGGGGCATCGTCTTCGAGGCACACCCCTCGATTCATGGCATACAATGGGATGTGCAGGCGACAATTGCTAACAAGCAAGTGCTGTCAGCTATCAACAAGCAGCCTTTCAAACGCTACTAAGTTGCAGAGAAAGGATTAGAGACCCAAGTTGACGGACTAGATGTACGGAGGAGAACCGATGAGTGGCAATGCGGGGCCCTAAGCCAACTACCGAAGCAGCTCTGGTCCCATGGTAACGAAAGAACAGTATACCAAGTTTGGGTGGCGTACCGGGTCGCTGTGGCACAGCTAAATCTCTTCCACGAAGGCCGACTAACGGATAATATCTGCCGGAAGTTGCCGGAGTGTCAAGGAGTGAAGGAGACCCTAGCGCACATATTCTGGGAGTGTTCATGCGCGCAGGAGTGCTGGTCCAAGCTAATCAGCCATTGGACGGGAGATCACAGAGAAAGCAGTCGTCGCGAACAGTACCGCAGCAATTGCGCGGCCAGGAAAGCACCGGCGTTTATTACGCCCAGAGTGAAAAGCATCATAGCAGCTCATCCGGAGGACGAGAAGCTCTACCGAGAAGAATGGACGAGGATCTGGCGTATCCTATCCAGTGTCTGCATTACCACGCTGTGGATCCAAAGAAACCGAGTCGTATTTCAGCACGAGGAGACATCTATCGATGGCATAGTACAAGAGTTTTGGACAACCAGACTCAGGCAGCTAACGGCGCTCGCGAAACGCGAGCGCCGCTCACCAGAACGGATGGAGCAAGGAACACGACTACAGGGGTGTATCAATACACTAGAAGACGAACCAAGAGAGCAGTCACATGAGCTGACAAGCCTCGCACAACCACCGGATCTAGCGCAGACACCGGCGTTGCTAACCAGGCTTAGGGATTTACCAGACATCTAGAAACTAAGGTTAAATAGATAAGTCTGTCTCTCTCGTTGCACTGACAGGACCAACAGAGGAAGATGTGGTCGCGCCAACGGCGGTGAGTGAGCCACGAGCCAGTCGTCACGACAGGTTTCGTCTACTCAATACAGCAATCGCATGACTGAGGCCGACAAGAATCAAAGAAGATCAAACGTGGATAAGCACGTTATTAACGAGAACAGCAAGGAATGGATAGACGTCGCTAAGGCGTACAATGATGACAGAGAGCGCCACAACGGCTGGGTCAAGAGCGACCGACCTCAGTATCAAGCGATATGTGGTGTAGCGTTTTGCATCTGAATCTTTCACCCGAAGTCCTGAGTGGCAAGTGGCGTATCAAACCTTGTCAAAGGTGATGTTACAGACGGAACGAGACCCGCCGGACCTTATTGGTCCAAATAACGGAAGTGCCGACAACTCACGACGGTTGGTCTAAACTCGACTTGGTGACGTCGCGACGTGGCAATTCATCCGGGTGGAGCTGAGACGTGGTAAGACGTGAGACACGAGGGTTAAAGCCGCAGGGACCGAAATTCTTCCGTGTTCTTCGGAACTTTAAGCCATCGAAGAGTCGTCGCCAACGGCAGTTTCAGATCGCCTAGTGGCTGAACAGAGTATAAGCGTGACTGTATTACCTAGATAAGGCGTAAAGGCGGTCTTTGGGTGAGAAAGATCCAGCGACCTTCTGGCGACAAGTCGCGACTGTACAAGCTCCGACGACCTTTTGAGCCGTCGGTGGAAGTTCGAGATCCAACATGGACATGTTGGATTAGATGTTTGTATTGATTAATAGTAGGATTTAGATGTTTCTTTAAAAGCCTTTGTGCTCAAAGAACAGAGCAGCATTTACTCTCAACCACACAAGGGCACGTCCGACTATCGGTGAGTACGCGGTAGTGGCGGGGTAGTTCCGGTAGCCTGGATATGACTGTCGGTGAACATTTCTACTGGTCGTAGTTTGTGTTTATCCAGCTGGGCAAATACAGATAAGAGAGAGGCTTGGCCTTATATTGAGAGTGAATTATCGCTATATGCTGTATAAGCTAGTGCGCTATCCATAAATTACTTACCGTTCGGAGCTTTACTTCGATACACCCATATCAGGTCTGAAACATGTCCGGTACCCTATCTTTATAGGGACCGCGGGGTATATTTGAGAGAGAGAAGAACGCTCTAACAATTGCTCGTGACTAGTAGTGCTGAGGTTTTGTTGGCTAACCAGCGCGAAACACGATACACAGGGGACATTCTAGTTAGATAGGGGTGTTCCTAGGCCCACGTTAAGGCTAACTAAGCTATCGGAGCTTAGTAGTCTTGTTAATATGTAAATATGCTAGTTCATTTCTGTCGTGTTCCGACACGACAGATAAGTCCCTCGCAAGTATCAAGTGCAAAGCTGTTAAATATGTGGAAAAGGCTTACTGCCCGCTACACAGTAGTGCGTGGTAAGGCTTAGCCCTCAGGGCATAACGAAAGCAGTTTCTACTCCAACTGCAAAGGGCGTTGGTAGGTTCTATCTTTTTGATTGGCTTCAACTTAGCCCAACCAATTGGAAAGGGTACGAGGAAGAATTGCAAAGGGTGCTCCGACCTTCACATTCGACGGATCTGTTGACAGTGATGAAACTAACTCCACCAGTGGATTCCCAATGGAAACAAGCGTCGTCGTCGTGGTCCCATGGAACGCATTGTCGACATTGTCGATGCGGAACAAACATCGGAGGTTGCGAAGCGTCATACAGGGTACGAGTCCGTCACAACGGCTTCTACAGCTGTTCAGAGTACACTGACAACGCTAATGATACTCAAGGTAACCGATGCTAGTGGTGATATGGTGCAATCCGCTCAGCAAAAGGTGGGCGTACTTGTTCGTTGATCGATGGATGAAGTGGACCCAAATTAAAAAAAGACACTGATCAGGCATGCCAGCAACAGTCCTGCCAACAAACACTTGCCCAGGTGTAATTATAAACAACTAGGCAATAATGAGCTCTGCAATCAATTACCAGTGTAATGGAACTGACCTTTAAAAAATTTTAGACTTTAAGCTCTGTTAGCATTAGTTTCTTAATTTGCTCACAGCAACGGTATGGCTTGTAGCTTTACTAGTAGCTCATATTGGACAAGTTTAACGGTCTCTCTTTCGATGGTGGGCCACCTTCAAACGCCAACAACGCTCTTGGCAAATTTTGTTTATCATGGGCTATCTGACGAAGTTCTTCGTGAACCGGGTCTCTGGTGTATGCTTGTCACTCATTGATGCAGAAGTTGTGTAGTGCTGTAGCACACCGGATCATAAACGTAGCAGTCGCTAAGCGAAGCCGAATAGGGCGGTGAAAATACCCCATTTTCATTTTAGCAATTGAAATGTCATTTCAATTCGAATGCGGATCTTAGAAAGATGATAGTTGAACGCGTCTTTGTAGATTCCATCCGGACAGAGAGATGTAAATGACGTGAGAAGACGCTTCATCGCAGTGTACGCAGCGTCGACAGCAACGTATATGCCGCGCTTTAGGGTCTCAATCAGTCCAGGTAGACGCTATCTTCGAATGCCCTCGAATCGTTTACCCCACCGAGATGGGCTATTTCGACGAAGACGAAACAGCTCAAGGCGTCGCAGCATGTTCGTACGATAATATCTGGATGCATATAGTGACCACTAAAATAACAGCGTACCTCAGCCACTGTGCCGGCATCATTATCAGACGATGCAGCCACACAACCGATCATGAATCCCTGGATGCCTTGTAGACGGAACGCAGAGGCAGCCTGCTCTCATTCAATAGCGCTCACCGATACAGAATCTGCATTGCAGGATTTGCTACAATGGCACGCATCACACCTTTGACAATTTTATAACGGTGTGAGCGGTCCACACCACCAAAACTACGAATATTATCGATCATGCCCCCACTCAGAAAGCGTTTTGTCATCTGGAGATTGTTCACCACGCTAACACGGCTCCATTTAATCCGAGCATGACCTTCTCCATCTAATCGAACAAGTAATGAGCACACCCGGTCGAACGAAGCTAGAGGCAACCGACAAACGCGCTTGAACGCTTCCTCGTGCAGGAGATGCTAGATTGCGTGGCTCCAAGTCTACCGGATTCGAGATCGCTGCTCTTGTCGACGTTGTCGCTCCTCTCCCGACAAGTCCAAGGCAACTAATAGCCATTTTTTCGCCGTCGACCCCGAGCATTCTGCATGGTACACCGTAGCAGAAGCTAGACTGGCCATCATTGTGGTCCACACCAGTGAAGATCCTGTCTATCCTGCAATCCGGCACTAATACCATCTACATTTCCTTTATACGGCTCGTAGCGATTAGTTTGATAAATAGGCGAAGTGGGTCATGCAACATTAAGTTACTCAGCCTCAACGAGATAACGCTGCAATAGTAGGCATAACGTTGCTTGCAAAATATATCACCGGTAATTTACGGAGGCCTAAAATCCCTCATTTATCTCACTTTTTCCTCCGTACAAAATAACTAATTTTAAGACGAGTGGATCCTCGTTTATTATTGTACTTAGAAAACACACATTCTGTAATTTGAAAAGTGGTGGGGGGGGGTTGAGCCTCTCATTCGAAAGAAGCAGCTCGGACGCGACACGCCGCGAAGAATCTGCCATGACACCAGGTAATGCTTGCGTTGTGAACTTGCTCCAAATACTGTATCATGCCCGTTCATTTACGCTGTATTGTCTTTTGTATAGGACGAGCACTACGAAGCCGTGCTTTGAAGCCGGCCCCCTTTTGTCACGACATGGAACCCGACCACCCGAGCGACGAAAATTTTGCGAGTAACGTTGCGTCGGACGGAGACGCGAGCTCCGACCGAGAGCCGCCTCGATAGAAGACGAAAAGAGGCGGGAACAAGGCGGAGGCTGCTCCTAAGCCTCGGAAGGCCGCACGAGGTTGGTACTTTTGCTTCAATTTCATTAGTTTTAGCTGCAATAATATCATTTTGACTTTTATTATTGCAGGAGTGATCCCGACTAAGTCATCGCCGAAGAAAGTAGGCAAGCCGGTGAAGCCATCTCCTAAAAAAGCAGTGCTGCCCTCCATTGCAAGGAAGAAAGGTGGAAAGCGGGTGAAGTCCTTGAAGCCGCCGGGACATACAAAACAAGGTCAGCGTATTGTTGCTCGTCGGTCCGGTTGCTGTATCTAACGTTGCTGGATGTTGTTACGCCGCCAAAAAATGTTGCCGTATCTTCGTTTAAGAAGCCCTAAACGTTTCGGATTTGTCGACCGACAAGGCAGGGACGGATGGTGCTTCTGGTGGCCAGTCTTCAATCAAATCGGCCGAAAAGACCAATACTGAGACGCCAACGGAGGCTATAAGGCAAGGTATGATTTTATAAAAAGTCTTAAATCAGTTAATGTTGCCAGAAATACTAATATTGCCTAAAGGTTGCTAAATTGTGCTCACCCTGTGTTGAGCAGCTTGAAACGGTCATTTGTTGCGAGCTCAGCCGAACAGACCCGACAATGCGCGCGTTAGCCAGGCTTCTGTCGACGCTAGTGCAGAAATGAAGACTTCAATTCCGCCAGAACATACGACGTCAGTTATGTTCTATTTCACACGATGGTGTCATTTGATTGTCTAACGTTGCTGAACCAACCTTGCCATTTTTTTGTTGTTGGACATTTAAATTTCTGAAAACGCGCGTGAGTCGCCGATTACAACGACTGACTCGGACGCTGGAGCTATGGCTTCTACAGAGGCGAAGCTCCCGTCTGACCCGCATGCAAGCGAGACTTCAACATCCGATAATCAGCTGACCGCGTCTTTACGCAGGACGAATACCGCCATTCGCGCTTTGAGCATCTCGGACGAGGTGCCGGGGGCAGCTACCAACACGACCACCACAGCGCCGAGCCCCTCCTGCGCGACATCGTTGGAGACAAGCGCACACAATGCTTTGCGTTTGACGGATGATCATGCAAAGAAAAAAAGTCATGACGTCACAGTTCTATTATTTAAAACTTTCTGTTCACTTCTACTGTACTGACGTTGCTATCCTTCTGTGTGTTTGAATTCTTTTCATATCCAGCCAAGAAGACTGGGACATCGAATATGGCTTCGGTACCGAGAAAGGCGCCAGAAGGAAGCAGCGGTGAGTGCTTCATTTTTACGCTGGTGGTTGACTTTAAGAAAGCTAATGCATCTATAAGGCACGGGAACGGGCAAATGTAAAGCGATGGCCGCTAAGAAAAAGGCGCCGTCGAAGCGTCCAGGCTCGAATACGCAGTCGAAAAAGAGCAAGGGAGTTTCATTGGACACGGATCTGGTGAAGGTAAGGATGTGGTGTTTAATTATGTCATCGTTGCTTTCCGTAACGTTACCCTGATAACGTTGGTGTCGAAACGTTGCTCGGATAACGTTGCTCTCGTAACGTTGCCACAGTGACTAATTCTTTATGCCACGTTAAATCGTACAGAGGCACAAGTACATCATCCGAGCAGTCGCGACGAGTTCACTCACCAGATGTGCCAAGTCCGAATACTGGTCAGGCTGAAACAGTCACAAGGAAGAATGAGGATGAAGTCCCCACCCAAGTAGCAGACCCTTTTGAAAATTTGCCGGCGAGCTCCAGGTATCACCTGGAATGCTCTTCATGGAGGAGAAGAAACCTAGACAGTGCAAGAGAAGGACTTCGGAGACAATTGCGAAGATAGCTGCTGCTCATAACAGTGTGCGCACCCACGCAGAACCGGTTCCAAGAAAAAGCTACCGGTCATGGGATCAGGTGATGTCGGCTCTGGAAGCGTACGGCCGAGCAACAGGCTTCCACTTTAGAATTCGGTCAAGCGTCAAGATCGCAAACTGTCCAGAGTAAGTAACGCTGGTTCTCTGAACGGCTGGTGATATCACTAATTAGTTTTGGCGTGGTCCTTGTACGTTTCCTGTCCTTCTGAAACCGAAATCTCAATCAGTTTCACGTACGGATTAAAACGTTTCCGATGTGTTCACGGCGTCACCCAGCTATAATGTCGTCGGCAACGTTAACCAGTTCCGCAACGTTAACGCCACAAGCAACGTTAATGAGTTCAAGCTCGCTGCAGTCTCAACAAACTACATCCCAGCTTGAAAACATGACCGATCAAGTTGAAGGGCCTGAGTGGAATCTAGCAGACCTGGATTCGTGCCCTTCTGCCTCTCAAATTTCTCTGGGTACGTTAGATATATCCGAACTATCGCAAAATATTATCAACGGATGCAACAGTGACGGTGCGGTGTCTAAAATTCAAGATGGCTCGTCCGTGACCACGCTAGTTGAAAACGCAGCTATGTCTCTTCTAGCATGCGCAGCAGAAAGAGGCAAGTGACGGGAATCAGCGCTGGTGGAAAAGCAGGTTTCGATAGAGAAGCATAATACTTGAACAGAGATGCGTGCTGTGAATGAGATGAACTTCCCGCCTCATGTTGACGGAAAACCCAGAAAACAGAAGATTAGACATTGGGCGTATTACGGAGCTATGCGTAGCTGTCACGTACGCCCGAGGACTAACCGTGGACATCATTAACTTGATGCACTGGGCATCAAACACAGGGAGCCTTACACGTGTAAGGGAAGTGCAGGAGAAGAATTCTGTCCTCCTTGAAGATATGGTGATGAGCGCCAAGCGCCCCACAGTTTCCGAAGCCAAGAAAACTCAAGCGGATAAGTATACGTGGTCATTTGTCGTCCCCAAGCCCTGGTAACATCCATGCAAAGCCGCCATCGAAACCCACTATGAACAACATACAACTGCATGTGGAGTGAACGGCCGCCCAGACGAAGTGAACCTTGCTGATTAGGATTCGGAAAAACGTCAGCACGCTGTGGTGAAGCTGAGAACAAATCCTGTGTTCTTCTCGAGGTACGATTAATGTAACTGCAGAATAATGCTGCTGGTTTAGTATGCTTATAACGTTGCCAAGCAACGTTATCCAGCTGAGCAACCTTATTGATTATTAGAAACATAATGGTTAACAGATACTAGCGGTTTTGATATGATAACAGTCGGTGCGTATTAGCGATGACTTCATTCTACGATACGTGAAGGCCTGGTCACGAGATATGGTATGTCTTGACCAGAATTGGTTCGACATTAAAGCTGGTCCTGTGAAGTTTTTAGCGAAGGAGACAAGAACGACTTGTTTAAGCGCTGTTGATCGAAACCTACGATACGGTAAAATGGTGACGGAAATCATGGTGAAGTACGAACGAGCGTTCTTAGACGCTAAGTACTCGCTACGATCGAAGAGGGCGTTTCTACGTTTTCGTGAATTTGTGGGAGCTGTAAGCCACACAGAGTGGTTGACTGGAGCGGTTGTATATTATGGCGAGACCGCCATATGCGATGGACGGGACGGCTGCCTAGTACTATCATCGTACGATTTGGACGGGCACTTCCCAGCGGGTAGAGATCTTTTCTCCTACAAACTAGTAGTAATGCTGGTAAGCACTCACGGGATGCACTGGACTCTGATTATGGTCTACATTAATAATGGGGACCTAGTTGTACATTTTTATGACCCACTCGGATCATCACACGAGCTGAAGCGGATCTGGTAAGAAAAAGTGTTTCCTTTTATACAAAGGTGGGATGCGTACCTACGATCGCGTGGAGAGGAGCCGCACGAATTTCCTGCACATATCCCACCCAATGGATTTCTCAACCTAGACAGCCAGCCGGCGGTAGCTGCGGTGTGATGGTGCTAGCTTTGGCTCACACACATGTTCGAGTCCCAACCCGAGGGTTCGAATTGGATACTGTGACAGCTGAATATATCAAGGTACTTCTGTTGCGACTACTTTGGTTCGTGATGTGCGAATCACTGATCTATCCGATTGCTCATGACGAGGAAGCTGCACGAGTTACAAACGAAGAACTACTCGAGGTATTCCCCTCCAAGCTGGTGAAAAAACCGACATAGATGGTGGTTCGCAAAGTGATACAAGCAAGAGTAGGAGCTGATAAATATAACGTTAATGTTTAGGAGCAACGTTAATTAAATCAAGCAACGTTAGCTAGTCCAAGCAGCGCTAATTGAGGAATGCTAATTTCAAATTAGCCTTGAGGTCGCTTACAGCTATACGGTTGATATGAAGGGTAGGGACGATGAGCGAGAGCGAAAGCTCGTCAACCTTGGTGATTTAAGAAACATGTTTTGTGATTTAGTCGGCAACATTCCGAGTTGATGTAGCTGCTTTGAGGCTAGTCGCACCTCTCACTTTACGTATCATAATACTACAGACAACGACGGTGAAAGTCAACCCCCCGTAAACATGCATTTTCAAGTCATTTTTAGAAAGGCCAACAAGACAAAAAAACTCGACCCCTTTCGTGGTATCACCTGCGATTGGTCAAAATTAAACCGACCCAACAGTTTATTAAAAGTCGAATAAACAATTTAAACAAACACCGTAAAAAAGCAAAAACATGTATTATTTTGCTCTACACCATCACGACAGGGTGTTTTGGGATTGCTTTTTCAAAGCTTTTAATAACACATTCCGTAGATATGTTCTCCCACGCTCTAATTGTGCGCGTTACGGCAGCCAGACGCTTTTCCTTCGCGGTTCTTGTAACTGCCACCTTCTCTCGTAGCCATTCAGCTGTCAACTTTTTCTTGAGTGGCCCCATAACGCCCACGTCAAGGGGCTGACTCACAGAGGTGCTGTTAGCAGGCACGGGGATCACAATTGCAGAGGTCTTTTCCGCCACAACGCTCTGACCGGCTTCGGAAATATGCGAGTCAAAATTGTCCAGCAAGAGGATTGACGGGGCATCAATCTCGTACTTTAGCAAGTTCAAAACGTACGTTTGCCACACTGTGGCGTCCATCCAGCCATTTTCTTGGACGGTGTACACGTGGCCTGCAGGATACGTCGGAAGTTTATCCGTCTCCACAGTCCCTCCCGGCATTCCTCGTAGTATAAACAGTATTGGTAGTTTTTTCCCTAAAATATAAATAAGTTAGTTTAAACATAATAAAGTCATTAAATTATTAAACAAAACTTACCATCCGCTCTAATGGTGAGAACTGCAGTGAGTCTACCAGAGTTTTTCTGCGTGTGCTTCACTTTAGCGGAGCCACGACGGCCTTTGAGGGCCCAAATCTTGTGGGGTGGGGTGTCAAAATATATTGCTGTCTCGTCGACATTGTATATGGCGGATTGCTGGAAGTGAGAATGCTGTTCCCAAAACTCTATGGCAAAGTTCAAATGGATTTCTTGTAGTGCATCTTCATCCTTTTTAGTAAATTGCGGTTTCTGAACAGAAAAACCATGGCTATAACATTAAGAAAAATATGTAAGCAATAAGTATTGATTAAAAACACAAATAAAATAGGATAAATTGCTAAAACGTTTGATTAAACCAACATATTGGAAAACGAGATGCTTACCGAGCTGCAAACCGCTGGCACATACGCATCAACGCGCTCAATGCGCGCTCAGGAGATGATTTATCGGCTAAATACTGCTCCAGCAGCCCCCTGCTCCATCTTCATATACTCGATCATGCCTCCAGTACACAAATACTATATATACACGTTAGAATCTGCAATAAATAATATAACAAAACAAATTTACCTCTTCATCCCGACGGACGTCTTTCATGAAGGTGACCAATTCGTGCTCAAATGTGATTTTAGTCTTTGCGCCTTGTCCTTTTGTCGTTCTGCTACTTTGAGGTCCCTTAAACTCAAACAGCAGCTTTGCCTTCAACGTACCTAATGGAATATTAAGCGCCCGAGCGGTAGGCTTACATTCCTCCAGAGCCACCCGCTCGAGCGCTTCCCGTCTCTGCTTGACGGTGTAGCTGTTCTGCCGACGACGTTCGTCCATCACTTTGCAGAAACAGCAATAGCGTGATTGTTTAAGCGGCGCCAGCATGGCGTGCTGTCCAGCAATATATTCGAAAGTATATTATTGGCTAAAATTACAAATAACACTTTTTACTTGAGTTTAAAGTTGCACTGTAAGGGGGGGTCGAGTTTTTGTGGGGGGTTGAGTTTCACCGTCTTTGTCTGTACGTAGATGCGCTACATGCCTGTGCACTTGCAAATAAAATGCGTTCGTAACAGAATATAACAGCTGCTTTGACATGTTTTGACTACAAAATAGAACACCAGCATACACGCAGTTATTCGATTTTTCATTTTGTTTAACACCGATAGGGCAGCATTTCGTTATGATATGAATAATACTTAAAACAATAACTACAGAAAATGGTATAGCCCATCAGAAGAATGAACTATCAAAGCAATTAGCGACGAATTTATCCATTATTCTGTGAGCGTATATTTTGATAGGAGTAAGCAATCGGCCTCCGGTTGGGTTGACACTTACTGGACCAGAATCATATCTTTATGAGATATTAGTATTTATTATGATACGTTATGCACGTTCGCCACGTACAATTACTACCATTTTGAACCTGTTCAATAGCACCCATTTCTGATCATATGACCGCAAGATGCGCTTAATGACACGATCAACAGCACTCACTGAAAAGGATAAAGGATGTGCTTGCCTCATACGGACTTAATCAACTCAATTTATTGGAGCTGTACCTCAGATGCACATCATTATATATTTCATGTGTGGTACAAATCGTAATTTATATCATATTTTTTTTAAGTCCTACCTTGTCCTACCACGTATCCATTTAGCCTTTAACGTTGCATTAAGGCGAAAATGTTGCACAAAAAATGGCTGTCATGTCGTAATCTGGATTGTTTAACGTTACAATACCACCATTCATAAAAAGGCCACCAAACCTATAGAGAAATTAATATTTTTTGAGTACGCATACACTCCAAAACTGTATGCGTACTAAAAAAATATTTAAATAATGTTCCGACGACTTGCGTTTGATCCAAAACTGTATCAAACGCAAGTCGTCGGAACATTTTTTTAGTAAGCGTGGTACTTTCAAATCTGGTTTTTAAATGTCTATTCATAATTTTTGGACTGTTTCCTTAATTTACATCGACTTCAGCTCTGGTTTCCTCTTTTATAAAGAGGTAACAACGGCAAAGCTAACCCTTATTGGCGGGACACGTTTCTTTTTAGCACCTCCCGAAAACTCAAGAAAAACGCTCCATTGGGCCCTCATATTTCCTATTTTTGGTCAGTGCCCCCTTATATATTTAGTGGACCAGAATACCGTAAACCACGGTTTCAATGCAGCGTAAAATCAAAAAAATTGGGAAAATAATCGTGAGGCTCTTAAAAATATAGAGACGACACCCCACCTTAGTACTAGCGCCTGTCAGAAAACCCATCACATTTTCTCAAACCTTCGCATGCCTGTATTTGATAAACATAATTCTTTTTACCATTAAAAAAAAGGCAAAGTTTGCTAGCACGTATAAATCAATGAACCTTTTCCCAACTGTTGCACTGAGGCCGTGGTTTACTGTACAGTACTGCACCCCGTTTTCGCGGGGGTAAATTATATAGGATTTACAAACAAATCAGACTTTAGCATACAAACAAAATTGTTGATTTGGATTTTGAATCATCACCTTCGGAAGTTTATCAAAGGTCCAAGGACGCGAAAACGGGGTACAGTACGGTACAAGTACTAATAAAAGAATGTATATATCAAGTTTCGAATGTTTATTATGACCAAAGTAATATTCCGCACTTCAACTTGTTCACATTTCAGCCAATCCTGTCTCATGAGAGAAAGGGGGATGGAGTGTCGTTTCCCTCTTTTGAGTGACATCTTTCCCTTCGCTGCCCTCCACCTCTTTCCCTATATTCTGCAGGAGGGGGAAAAGCAACGGATCGAGTCACTCACTCTCGTCCGTCGTCGACGCCGTCAGCAAGTCAAAGCGCAAAGCAGACGGAGCCAGCAGCAGCCAGCTCAGTCTCGTTCGCTCCCCCGCGCTGCATTTTTTTCTTCATTTTGCGTGTAATTGCATACCACGACGCCTCGTCCCATGGCCGATCAAATGGATCCCACCGCCGGCGCCGACGCGCAAGCGCCCTCGCAGTGGTCGGAGCACAACGCGCCTAATGGACGCAAGTATTACTACAATGCCGTCACGGGCGAGTCTACGTGGGAGCGGTACGTCGTTGACTAGCGAGACTCGATCTTTTAGCGTATCTCGCCGTCTCCAACGCATCACCTCATACTCTACTCTGTGTATGTATCTTCAGTCCAGCGGAACTAGCAACGGCGCAGACGGAGGTGCCGTGTAGTAGTGCCCCCCAACAGCAGCCGCAGCAGCAACAGCCCACCGCGGGAGGCTTCCAGCAGCCTCAGCCGCAGCTAGGAGGACAGGGTGCTCAAGGTACGTCCACTATACAGTTGGAAAGAGGAGAGATAGTTATCACTAAACCAATACTGACGACATCTGGAGCAGGCGCTGCAGCGTACGGAGCGTATCCGCAGCCGTATGGCCAGCCCATGCAGTACCCGCCGCCGTACGGAGGAAGTAGCTACATGTATCCATTTCCACAGGCTTACGGTTCGTCCATTGCTGCCACAGGGGGCTTGCTTTCCTGTGCGTACTTATTAACTCATAGCTGACTGGTGTATTGTGCAGGGTACCCGCCGCAGATCGTGGGTCCAGGGCCTCCCATTCAGACGACCGAGAGCGGCCAAGGTGAGCTCCTCGCTGTGTTTTGTATAAATGTGTGTGTTATGTGCATGGATTTAAAAAAAATGTCGACCCATCATGACACTTGGCCCCACGTGTGTGCGTGATGCGAACCATTTTTTTTTGCGTGTTGTGTATGTTGCTGCGTATAGGACCTCCTGGCTGCAACCTGTTTGTGTTTCACATCCCGAACGACATGACTAACCAGGATCTCTTCAATTACTTCGCCACGTTCGGCAACGTGATTAGCGCTCGTATTATGGTGGAGAAGGAGACGGGGAGAAGTCGTGGCTTTGGTACGTCTTGGGCTGGTGATTGTCGGATAAAGGGTGAAAGTCGATGTGTGAATTTTGTCATTGCTGAAACTGTATGTAATTGTAAAAAATAGGGTTCGTGAGCTACGACAACGCTCCGTCCGCTGAAGCTGCGATTAAGGGGATGAACGGCTTTCAAGTGGGTCGCAAGCGCCTCAAAGTGCAGCACAAGAAGGAGAAGAGCCAAGGCCAAATGTTCGGTGAAATGCCTATGGACAACAGCGCCAACGACATGGCTGCTCAGAGCAGTGGTGCTACTGTGCTGCCCTCGGCCGGCTAGAGCGCTCGACGGGAGTATGTTCACTACGCTATCAGTATAGGAGGCATGTTCGGGGAGAAGGGGAGGTTCGTCAAGACGAGACAAAGAAGCGCTTTGCCGAGTGATTGTAGCGTAGACGAAAGAAGTGGTGGGGGGGGTCGTCGTGGTCATGGCACGATCTACGCAGTTAAGGACTTTTATGATCTCTTCCTTTTAAAATAAAATGGGTAACTGTTCCTGGTACCTCGTACGAAGACTACACGTATTAATAATTGTCGCTGTGTTACATCACTAACTTACTGAAGTACAGTACTGCACACCGTTTTCGCAGGGGTGGACCATATAGGATTTGCGAATAAACAAGAATTTAGCTTATAAGTGATAGTACATATACATTTAAAATCATCACATCCGGAAGTTTATCGAAGGTCCAAGGGCGCGAAAACGGAGTGCAGTACTGTACTATTCCACAGCTGTACGTACAAAGTGGAGTGTTGCCAGGAAAAAATGTACTACTGTACGTAGTGGCAGCTGAAAATTCGTCAGGGCTTTTAACAATCGTACATTTAATTATTTTGGTAATAATAATATGTATTTTATTTAATTATAAATGTAAGTCAGCTTTTCAAAAGATAACATGAAATTCAAAAATAAACTTAGGTATTTGCTATGCATTACGTAGATACTGTAGTGCTTGATAATATGTTATTTAAATATCCACTTAAGTACGATTCTTGACACCTGCAGAGTGCTAACTTTTTTTTGGTCAGGTTCTAAATGATGTCGGCTTTAAAACTGAAGAGTGTGTGTTCTGATATTTTTTTTATTTGTCCTGCCCCCTAACCGCTAGCCTTGTGTCCGTCCGTCTGTCAATCAGTCCATCGTTTTCCTTTCTTGCTGCTGTTTCCTACGTTATCGCATGGCTACTTTCGACCTTTCTAATTAGTTTTGTCCCATCTCACGAACTGCACACATCTTTCTGACTTGACCTAGCTATGCAAAAACTACAAATATACTCCGAATCGTCACACAATTAACTCGCGCCCTGATTGGCTGGCACAGTATCACAACTCAGTTATAAGAGCTCTGCAAAGTTGTTTTCTTCAAAGTAGAGACGATCTTATTAATTCTTTTTTTAAGTAGGCTCCACGACCTTTGCGTTAGTTGCATCCGGACACCACACTGTATGCGCGCATGGTACCTCCGTGGTAGTGCTTAAACTCATTGTTATTTGCCTTTAAGTATGTTTTGCTCGAAAAAATGAAAATAGCGCTACATCAGCGATTGCAAAATTTTAAAAAAATATCTTTGTTTAAAAATGAGTACCAGCATTAAATGGCCGTGTATTGGCTAATATTTTGACGTATTTTATTGGTTGAAAAAAGCATGTATATGATGTTTTAGTACTATTTAATATTTTGCTAAATAGTATACATACAGCAGTAAATATCCGTTAGAATACCTTATATTTTACGCACGTTAACAATTATAATAGTTTCTTCACAGTTTGCAACATTGCGAGGCCCACGTGCAAGGACAAATTGGCCTGCGACTGCTGAATCTGCAGCGGTTTACGATGGATCCCCGGGCGCGGTGCATCTGCTGTGGGAAGCTGCAGTACGGTAACGCGTTCCGTACAATCAGCCGGCAAGACATCGTGCGGCGCTGTTTTGCCTGGGAGAAAAGCCCCCGCCCAACCGGACCCAGAGGAGGTGCGCTGTCAGAATAGTATGGCGAATGTTAAAAATTTATGGGTCCTAATTGGTACCTCAAAACGTAGGAGGAAGCTGTAAGCCGATCGCCCGAAAAGCCAGGTACGTCAAGCAAATGAATCAGCACAAGAGCAAATAATTTGAAGGAGAAAACCCAATACCCCTATAGTCTCCCTTTATGTTTTGCTTATCTTTGCCTTTTGTATACTGGCGGATACAGTGATGCTTGGGGTTGCACATATGATAAGCTGGCTACGGCGATGTCAGAAGTGTTGATACACCTAAAAAGCGTAGTGCGTTTCATATAATAGTTAGCACATGGTATCTTCTGTGGTCAGCCGCAAGATCACCGTCCTGCATACGCGTCACACGCTCATTCGCTCACTTGGACAAACGCAATACCGCGCTATCTGTATCGCCAGCGTTCACAGCGTATATTCCACTAACGTGCGCTCACAAATTGAAACTACAGTATTGAGTGAGCACTACACGCGACGAATACGTTGCTGTCTACGTAAACACGAGCACGTGTGCGGTACTGCAGACCGTACAAGTGGATGTGGCAAGTTGATGTGTCTGTACGCAGTACCGTACTTTAGTACCCTGCTCAAATTGTTCGAGATCAGAGCTGGGAATGGTTTTAAGGTGTACCCGCTACGCGTATAATTTGTGTTTGCTAGCCGATGTCTGGTTAAGCTTGCCAGTATCGCTTCGGTATGGTCTGTGGCAGTTAGTTACCAGCCTGGTCTGATAAACTGATACATCAAAACCGTAAGCACACTGAGCTAAAGCGACAATACAAACATTCCGAAAAAACAACAGTGGCCCCGTGCATATGTTATGGTTATTAAGAGCGCATAAAAATAACACCCATATACTATCTAACTAAATGAGCTATACACGGACACATCAAATAGCACGCCGAGCGGAAAAGCAGACAGCGAAAACGCGTCACATAATGCACTTGGGCTGGTCTAAACGTCACTACGATTGGATCTTCGGCCTACAGCTCATGTGGCTTTGAATGATCGTCATACATGTCGGAGCCAGTAAATGTCGCTCGAAAAGGATCTACGCCACGCTGTCAGTCAGTATCTATGCAAATAAGTCGGTAAGTAAGTCAATGGCGTTCATCCTATCATATCAGCGTTAGAAGACGAAATTTGTTATTAATGTCAACCGGATTTGAACAACGAGTCATCGAACATCAAGTACACACCCTTCAGAACTATCTGATATTAGGAAGAGTTCAGCAAGCCATATGGAGGGAAGGAATAGGTCATTTGGGTGACCATCGGCAGATACTAGCCGTTATAAACCATATTATGCGGATGCAAAGAGTTGGCTTGGTTACTTCCAATGCCTCTTATGATCGGTGACAATGAGAGTGATATCTCGTTGAGCACTAAACCCGGCAAGCACTCCAAAACAAAGCATATTGAAAACAAGTATCACATGGTAAGAAGGAATATCGAGCTGAAGCGCATGGCAGTGAAGCACATCGGAACCGAGAACACGGCTGCAGATATCATGACGAAGGCGTTGGAAGCTGTGAAGTTTGCTCGCTTTTGAAAGGCGATGAAGGTGCTACCTGTTGTGGCTGCTGAAGGCAACGCTGAGGTTTAAACTGCTGCGACGGTTGGCTACTTCCGTGACGACAACACCTACGTTGTAGTTTTCATCAAGTAGAAGACGCTATGGCTACAAGAAGCCAAGTGGATTGCTGATACGCGAGTGGTTGAACCACTGCTAGCTTTGATGGAGGGTGCTGGGCAAGTGGGAGTGCGCTTACTACTGCGGGTACATGCTGCTATTTTGGGTGCAAGTGTGATCACGTCGACTACGCGTTAGATCGCCGTGTTCAAGTGGGAGTGTGAGATACAATGTGCGGGTGAGTGCAGATCCTGCGGATCTCTACAAGCACACGAACGTTGCAGCTACGCAATGGACGACTGCGTCGGCCTGTTGTGTGTTGGCTCGTGCTGCCAACGCGTGGATTTGTGCAACGTCATGACCAAGACTTAGTGTTAGTATAGATGTACTTGAACTATTAGTGCTGAGTACTAATACAACTTACTGCTGGTACGGTGGTGGTATTAGCACGGAACTGCACTCACTCGAGAACTTGCCTTCTGAAGAGCAAGTGCAAACTCCGACCAAGACCTTCACCGTCACCTGCCGCTGGTTGAGCCTCGGCACATACGTGCTTCTCTTGCTTCCTACTTTCTACTACTACCTGACTGCTGTGTGGTGTCAACATGACAGTCACACGCAGTCAGAGTGAACTGGTGAGCTCTCGTAGCTCACCTCAATAGATTTCCGCGCGCTAGATCTAGCTCGGATATATATTGTTGGCACCACGCTGAGGTGCGCTTCGTCGCAAAGTCACTCTCTGTTATTCATAAAGTTGGTTGCTATCCTTTGTGCGTCAAACCTCAACATCAATTGGTGAGGAGATTCCACATAAGATTAGCGATAGTAAACACGCCTACCAGTGCGTATAAGGATCCCACCCATATAGTAAACTGGACGACAGATACTATTTTGCCTAGCCGAGAGGTATTCGTGACCATATCGCTGCTTGCGACGGTTAATTAGACCAAGTTTTTATCATCTAAGTCTTGTAGCCACAGAATGTCCTTTGCAGCTTCGGACATGGCCACATATTCCGCCTCACAGGTACTCATTGCATTGCTCTCCTGTTTCCATGAAGCATACGAGATCACATTCCCGTCAATCATTGTCACGTAGCCGCTAATACTGCGACGATCCGCTGGATCATTCGCATAATCAGCATCAGAGTAGATCGTCAGTTCAACCGACTTTCCTTGCATCATTCATCAACAAGCCGTAGTCCTTCGTAAGCTGCAAATACCGGAGCACGCGTTTGGCTTGTGCATAGTGTATATGGTCGTAGCAGGCTAGGAATTTCTCCAAGTGACGCACAGCATGTGCGATATCTGGCCTTGATGCATTAACCAGATACTGCAACGGTCCGACCAACTCTTGGCAAGGTAGGTACTCCGTAGTCTTAGGGATCTCCGCTTTGGATGGCGACGTTGATTCAGGTGTCACACATCCGTTGCATGTTGTCATGTGATAGTCCTTCAAGACGTCCAATACGTACTGCTGCTGCGAGTAGATAATTTGTCGCCTTGGGCGATCAATCTGGATTTCAATACTTAGCAGGTATTTTACAGTTCCCATAGCCGTCAGCTCAAATGACTCCTTAAGCATGGCAGCAACCTTGGCGCAATGCTGGGGTGGCCCCATTATTAGTAGATTATCCACATAGACCGTCAAGAGCATCTTGACTTCATATTTTTCTTTCAGATTGTACAATCCAAAGTCAGAGTCCGCACGCTAAAACTTCATCGCCATCAGCTTGGCATGTAATGTTTGGTTCCAGATGTTGGGTGCTTGCTTCAGCCCGTCCAGGCTCCGCAGGAGCTTGCACACAAGCTCAGGGCCTTCAGTCTAGAATCTGGGAGGCTGTTCCATGAAGTTCTCTTCAGAGGTCACCGTACAGAAAAGCTGTTTTCACATCGTACTGCAGTACGTCCCAGTCTCGTTGTATCGCAGCTGCTCGAATGGTTTTAAACCTGACAACTGGAGCGAACGTTTCAGAGTAGTTCACCCCTCGCTGTTGCTTGTGTCACTGAATCACTAGCCGAGCTTTGTATCCGGTCACCCGTCCTCGTTTATCACGCTTCACAGCAAAGACCCAACGGCACATGATCACCTTCACCTTCTTTGCCACCGACCGCGAAACTACACCTTTTCAACTTCAAAATGGCGACAGGTAAAATCAAAGTGACAAAACGTAAGTTCAAAATGACATGACACTGACACTTAATATTTATGGGAGTATTTACGTTTGGAGTTCATTAGATGAGGCAAAAAGTGGCGGCAACTACTCCCGCCAATTTTGGTGGATGCTGGCTGGCTGTACGGCGTCGATGGAATCAGTGGACACTGTTGCTGCAGTTTGTGGTCGCACTGCCTTTCATTCATTACGCGTCCCACCGCACCTCACCATCAAGGCGCACCGTGAAAGCTACCTAAAGCTGGCTGCAGACCTCCTCGTACTCGAAGCTATCACCCCAGAACTTTGCTACAAGTGCTCGTTGCACACCATGAAGTTCCATGCGCGTGCGATCCAGATGAAAGATATGCCTGTAGGAGAATAAAGACAATATCAAGTTTGGCTTTGCTGGCTCCTATGTTCGATGTCATTTTGAACTTACGTTTTGTCACTTTGATTTTACCTGTCGCCATTTTGAAGTTGAAAAGGTGTAACTTCCACGTGTCGTGACCCTTCAGGGATTGGAGTTCGGAAAGCATTGCTACCCTCCACAGCAGCTGCCTGCTGGATCGAGATTGTTTGTATGTGTTCGGAATGTCAATATTTTCTGCAGTAGCCCAAACATGGCCTACCACACAGTCAAGTAGCCGCACGTTTGGTCTCTGGGTCCTACGTGGGCGCTTCAAAAATGGTTCTACCGGCGGCTCCTGAATCTCAAATCTAGTGGACTGTTCACCAGTCTTCTCACCTCGATGCCGCACACCACGATTGCGGGTCCTCTTCTTCTTCTTTGGTGTCACTTCCACTTCACTGGTAGCCGGTATCACAGTACGAGTTGGTCGTTGCCTCGCTGGACATTCACCGCGTGAGTTTGGATTTATTTGCCCAGTCCTTCTAGAAAAGTCAATTTGATTCCGACTGGAGTTTGCACGTTTTCTCCCACTTGACATCGGTGCCGGTTGCACCGCATCCGATGTCACCTCGGTCTCATTTGCAGCTCCCACTGGCTCCCTACTCGGCATCAGCAGCTGCAAGCTTGCAGATGTTCAGCCCCGCCTTGAATGTAGGAATCTATACTGGTTTTAATCTGATCAATAGGCACGCTGGTCGGCAACTCATGCGCATGGTGCATGTGATTGGTCATCAGTAATTGACGCACGTTTGTCCCTCCTGCTGTAAAGCGCTCGTGGAAGCGCGAGTTGCCGCCTCGAGCGGTTATTACTTGACACGTAAGCAGATCAAGGAACTTGTACCCTTTTGTTGTTGCACTGTAGCCAAGCAGAAGGCTTAAACGGGCTCTCGGCTGGAGCTTCTATTTACGTTGTCGAGACTCTGGTGGGATACGCACCCAGGGAAGGCAGCCCCAAGGACGTAGCACACTGAGGTAGGGTGCTACACCTTTTATCTTCTCGTGTGGCGACACAAGTCCCAGAGGTTTTGTAGGTAGAACGTTCAACGTATCCACGACGTGCAATAAGGCTTTACCCCATAGCATGTTCGGTAGAAGCGTTGCTGTCAACACGCCCTCATTCTGATTAATAAACTCCATTTGCTCGTTCAGCCACTCCATTCTCTTGAGGGGAGTAGGAATTCGTCGTCTGCAAGACGACGCCTTCGTGCTCGCAGTAGTCACTCAGAGCTGTACTACCGAATTTTCCACCCTGGTCCGAGTGCAGGCGCTGCACAAAGTACTTCGGATACTGTGTCTTCAGCTCACGCAGGAGCTTGATCAGAAATGCAGCGGACTCTCCTTTCTGTCGCAGCAGAAATGCCCACTTGTATCGTGACACTTCGTCGATCACAAACAGAAACATGGTCGCACCACTGGCAGTTTCTTCAGAAATGGAGCATAAGTCCATTACTAGAATGGGTAGCGGTTGAAAGTCCCGCATGGGCCGCCGCGCATAATGCGTCCATGGCGCTTTACTCGAATTCCACGCAACATAGTCGTAGGTAGACAGGGGGTTCTTATTTATATTAACACCAAGGTCGATCTTGTCGCTCAGCAACTTCACTATCTCCATGCTCATGTGTCCAAAGCGCTGGTGAAGCACCTTCATCATGTCATTGGTATCTTCTTGCGGCTTCTGCACAGCGTTCACCAGCCTGCCAGGTACATGTGCATCACGTAGTCGGTAGATGTTTTCATGCATGTCAAATTTTAGCGTGATTTCAGTCTTGTATAGCCATGCACTGCGCTGGTCATCGGACATCTCAACCTCAAATTGTCCTGTCATCTGCATATATCCAAGGCTGATAATGTTCACCCGAGCAGTCGGGCTATACACCACGTCATCCAGCAGTCGATCCTCAAAGTCTCCGGTTTCCTGGTTAAGCACACGCAGGAGCACAGACCCGCACAAAGATGCGTGTTCAGAAGTACCGTTAGCGAAATCCAAACGACCAGGCTGTCCCTCAGAAAATGATGTGAACAATGCAAGATCATTGCAAATATTAGCTTAGGGACCAGAGTCGACAATCCACTCAACTTGTCCCTTGCTCCTCTGCATACCTCTGTTTTCGACCGCGTTGACCATTCTTGACTCACTGCTACGGTCAGGGTAGCCACGGCTGCGTGGCGACACATCGCGTTCACGACCCCGCTCAAAATGATCGCATCCTCTAGGGCCTTGCTGCGGCATCGGCCCATGACGACCAAAAGAATATTGGGGCTGTTGCCACGGTCGTGGAGATTCTGGCGGTCCACGTGGTGGAGAACGACCACGCCAATCATTGAATCGTCCATCATAGCAGTCATCACGTTGCGTCCATACACGGCCTTCTTCGTATCCTCCGCCATAGTAGCCAGTACCGTAGCCTCTACTACCATCGTAGCAACGCTGGTTCTCGAAACGCAGCCCAAATCGGTCATCCCCGGATGTAGATGGGCCCACTCGTGACCCACCTTCAAGACGCCTCGGCTCAAACCCTGCTCCATGCGAGTCCCAACATCTTTCGTCATCCCAGCGCTGCTGGTGACCTGGAGGCCCGCTCGACGTCTCTTCCTCGTCACGGCTTGCTGGCATTGTTGGTGAATACACAGGAGATACCGGCGGTTTGGTAGTATTGGCAACTTGCACCGATCCCACGAACGACTGCACTCTTCTCTGGGAGTTTCCATGCTTCTTTTGCTCCAACTCTGGCTTAAGTGGCTTCCCAGTGATTTCCGTACACTCTGCATACCAATGGCCCATTTCACCACAATTCCCGCACTTGCTACGTGCTTTCTTCTTGGCGATTTCCTCAGTCTTCGAAGCTGCTCGCTTCTTCTTATTGGTGCTCTTCTTGCTGACTGCATTCACGGTCGCAGCTCGTGAGGTTTCGGGTGATCGCTGAAGACTGGCGACCTGCAGTCGAGCTTGCCCCGCCTGTCGCAGGCGACGCGTAGCATCGGCACGTGTGAATGTGCGTCTGTCGTTCTTGCTACACCATACAGTGTGTTGCTCTGCAAGCGCTCTGAAGACACGCTGAGAGTTGGA